GGGGGAATAACTGAGTTCTGAGCTTCTGTGAAGGGCACTGAGATTGGGTGGCGTTAGCTCAGCAGTGTGATTTTGAGAGAAAGCAATGCTTTTTCCCTCCAGGCTTTAGAAACCATCCATTAGATTCTATCAGCCTGCACATCTCACACGCAGATGAGCGATTTGCCTAAAATCCCTTGTCAGAACCAATGGGGGAGATTGTCTAAAGCTGATGGATTAAGTCCCTTGTCCTCACCCACTTCTGGAATCTCTGCAAGTGGTTCTTCCTTGTAAAAAAATCTTATAAAAATATCCACAGTCTGGATATTTATTACATGTCTTTATTTCAAGTGGTGGTGTCTTTCTCAGTTTGTATTTTCACATTTGTCTCTCAGTGGAGTGGAGAAAAGAGGATATTTCTTTTTGGCATCTTTTCCTGATCATTTTCCTCCCCACTCCTCTTATCTAATGGCATTTGTAACATCATGTGGGGTTTTCTTCCTCCTAGACCTGTTGTTATCTTTGTAAGTGGTCTCCTAATCAAGGGTGTACAGCAGATTCTTCTCAGATTTACTAACTCAGGAGGGCATGGAGAACATTACATATACAAAGGACATTAAAACAGCAACAAAAAGACTGAGATTGATTAGTTTATCTCTGCTTCTGAAGCATGTTAATTGGGTGCCCTGTTGCTACACCAAGGAGCCTTGGTGGCGCAGTGGTTAAGTGCTGAGCTGTTAAATAAAAGCTTAGCAGTTAAACCCACCAGCTGCTCCATGGGAGAAAAATGTGGCAGACTACTTCCATAAGGATTTATAGCTTTGGAAACCTTATGGGGCAATTCTACTCTGTACTATAGGGTCACTACAAGCCGGAATAGGCTTGATGGCAATAGGTTTGGTTTTTGGCGGTTGCTACACCAACATTGTGGTAAGTGTTTCTTGCAAAGCCGGCAGCTTCTTTCAAATGCAAACAGTGACTTGGAGAGACTTACTGGATTTGTGAATCAGAACTTAATGGACCGGGAAGTGAATTATTGACGGACAAGAGCTGACTATCCTTTCGGTTTATCATCACTGAAAATTGAGAACCTCTGTGTTTGAGTCCCTACCTATCTGGGTGAGTTTCTCATCTGTAGAGTAGGTTATGTTACTATCTACTTTACTGGGCTATGAAGGGGTCCACTCAAGTGTTGGGTTCCCCAGACAATGGCTGGTTCTTAGTGGACATTAGATAGTCACCACAATCATTGAGAGTGAAGAAGGTGTCAAAGCAGTAGTTGTTATTATTACTTTGGAATAAGACAAACTGCTAACTTATCTTTGCTCAAAGGTTTTCCCAGCAGGAAGAAAGGTTGGTTTAGTATATACTGAGGTAAAGATTAGTGCCTAAGGCATTTGACTGCTAAACAGAAGGCTGGTGGTTCAAACCCACCAGGCACTCCTGGGAAGACTGGGCAATCTACTCCTCCAAAGATACGGTCTCAGAAACCCAAGGAGGGGTTGCTCTGAGTCGAACTGACTTGATGGCAGTGAGTTTGGTTAGGAGGTTTAACTCATTGTTGGTATTCTAACTTAAAGAAGAAAAGGTGGGGGATATTCAAGAGAAATCCTTACTTTATCTTTGGGTTGTTGTTGTTGTTGTTATGTGCAGTCGAGTTGGACCCAACTCATAGTTTAACTCATTGTTGGTATTCTAACTTAAAGAAGAAAAGATGGGGGATATTCAAGAGAAATCCTTACTTTATCTTTGGGTTGTTGTTGTTGTTGTT